TTTAATTCTGCAATTTAATGCTGAAAGTATTTCAAAATCGAGTAACCTTAACACCGTCGACGGCAGGGTTTAATTTGATCATTATCTCGTAAAAGTCAATAAAACGTGCACGTGATTGTCCCAATTGAAAAGTTTCAAAGATTTCTATCTTGGAAATTCATTTGATTTAAACAACAATGGTTGTCGGAAATCTTAATTGTATCCAACAGTCCTTAGGATTCGCTACTTTCCCTCTCAATTCCTTTCCTTCGGAGGGATAAAGTTTTTGAATTTGTTATTTCACAATTCCGCTTAAATCGCGCTTTGAAATTCAAAATTTTATGTCTTTCTATTTCTCGAGCTTGCTGTCTTAATTTAGATACAATAAAAATCTTTTACTATTCATATTTTCAAAAATATTATGAAATGAAAATATAGAATATGTTCATAAAAAATATATACAAGATGAGATCAATAATTTATTACTCTTAAATGTTAAAATTGAAACCACTTTCCGCTAATGTCTGCCACATTATGACGTCAATCCCTCTTTTCTTATTTTGACAGCGACACAGCGATCGTGCGATTTAATGGGAATTTAAAAAAACACGTTTTTTTATTATAATTTACAACTTTTAGACTTTGAGGAGTTCACCTTTTTGTCAGAACACAGACATCTTCCAGTGCTTTTTGAGTTTTTGAGAAACACTAAGCCACCTTAAATACTCAATGACGCACTAACACAGAGTAATCAATATTAAATCGATAACCCTAGGGCCTGACGTGATTTTACCGATTAGAGGCAGGGCCAGCCTGTCCATATATTCAAACTAGGCAACTGCTTAGGGTGCTCGTATTTGGGGCGGCATACCATGGCAAATAGATTACGGTTTCTCTAATTATTAAAACCTTATCAAATCAGTACCCCTTTCTTCTGTGATCATGAGCCAATTTCGGTGGAAATAAAAAATATGAAATTTTCAGTCCAGCGTTCACTAAGAAGTTTCATTTGTCTTTAGCAAAATTACATTATTTGTTTTTTACTTGATAGGTATTCTGTTGTGATTTTTTTATGGGCCGGCTTCATTGAGCCGGCGCCGATTAGAAATTAAGAAGACAATAAGTTGCGAATCAAGACTTTATTTTTCTCTCCGCTTTATAAGATAACGCCCCTAACACAGGCCTACTTTTTTATAATTTGTCTAAAGGATAATGCGTCACTACATATAAATAACAACCTGAGACTATGCAAATCTCAGTTAAAGCCCGTTTATTAATCTCGTTTAAGCTCGATTACCGCGCTAATCGTCCGTAAGCTATTTTCAGGGGGTTTGGCGAAACACGAACGATTTGTTCCTTTAACAAGTTTTCGTAAATATATCATAACTAAGTGGCAATATCGTATTTTCGTAATAAAATCGTTTTCACGAACGATGAAGATTCATTTCCAGTAGTGAAACGTACTCCACCAGATTGATAGCCCCTGTCCGACATCCGTTGGTTCAGATGATCTATCAGAAATCTCTTCGCATTACAAAATGTTCGCGTAAGCGGAAAGCAAAATTTCCGAATCACCTTGGGCGCATAAAGCTAACCATTCATATCAGATTTATTATTAAATAAATATATAAAATCCAAATAACTAAATGAATATATTACGTTTTTTTTTTCTTCAGTTTTATGGATAACCTAAAATATAATGAAACTTATTAAAGACTTACGCATGTTTTGTAAACAAGAATTTGTTTGTTATTTGAACTTTACTACCATCTCCACAGGTTTTCTGGAAAAGATACTTCCATAGCTATATATCTATGTTTATATTGGTACTAGCTTTTGTCAGCAACTTCGTTTTCGCGGTATTACTATTATATTACAGTAGTTTATATTTAATCGACTTTAAAAAAAATAGGTTCTCAATTCAAACGAAGTCGAACTTGTAAAAGGTTAAAATTTATCAGTATAATAATTATAAATCGATATTTTTAAAGTTGTAAAAATTTCACAACTCTTCCAACCATAGGTTAGTTGATGAACCAATACCAATACCAACCTACCTACCTCATAAGATTGATGCCAAAGGGAAGGTTTATTGTCTCATGAATAGCAGTAAAATCTAAACTTCTCATCCAATTTATTTAGAGTATAAGACAATTTTTATGTACATTTTATTTTCTTTGACAATAAGCATATTTATTTCATAAGGAAGGCCTAAGACCCTGCAGTGGGAACGTACAACGGCTGATGATGATGATGAATGTGTAAAAAACAACTGACTTTATTAGACTACGAGGTCACTTCCCATTACAATATTAAAAACAAGATTAAGGGTGTAGGTATACCCAGATTACATTTTAACATGACCTTACGTGACTACCTATAATCTTTTTAAAAAAATGTCCATCATACTTAATTCCACATAAAAGCGGTAAGTAAAAATAATTAGAATTCTACGAACCCTTTCGGCGAGTAGGTACCATATTTTTAACGCAGCTATAAAAACAAAGTACGACGCCCCTAGACGTCTAATTACAAATACAGGGATCGCTGGCTATTGCGTAACCACGGTGGAAATTACGGACTTTCGAATAGAAACATAAATGGCACTCAAGAGTCGCTTCAAATAATTTAATATAATAAGAATAAGACAATGGACACGCAAAGCCTGTGTTGTTATCTAAATATATCGCACGTTGAGAATGACAATGTCATTAACCAAAAACGACGTATTTTTTACTTTTGGCAACATTTTTCTTTGTTAAGTATAAGCTTTAAAATGCCAAGATCCCAGTGAACGTAGCTTGCATAGAAACTGCTAAGTGGCATAATGACAATACGTTGTTTAGAGGGGTTGACTACAATTTCTTGAACTTTAAACGCTCATTACTCAAAATCACAATTTTTGCATTGTGTCACTATCGTTCTCAACGTACGATATATAATTCAAAGGCGACTGACTGACATAGTGATCTATCAACGCACAGCCCAAACCTCTAGACGGATCGGGCTGAAATTTGGTACGCAGGTAGATGTTATGACGTAGGCATCCGCTAAGAAAGGATTTCGACCAATTCTACCCCCAAGGGGATAAAATAGGGGATGAAACTTTATTTCAGGTATTTTACACGATATAATGAATAAATATTCGTTAGAAATGGTGCTCAAAGTAACTTTACCACGCGGACGAAGTCGCGGGCAAAAGCTAGTTGAGTAATAAAGTTCATCAGATTCCTCAGCATACAAACAGGTTCCTTATCTTGAAAATGCCGGTGGTGATATAGAAAACACAGCAACCCCACAGAACACTCAAAATGAGCATGGAGATCAGGCTCTTAGCGCGATATGTCTTGAAGCAAATAAACCAAGAAATATATGGTACCGTTGTCTCTTTGGTGGATGGCCCATGAGCAGTACAAACGATGTGATGACCCTAGTCGTTAACGTTATGGTATTTGTACAAACGAATAATTTAAAGATATTATAGATTGTATAATGTCAATTGTATAATTTGCCTCAGATTGTAGGGTCCTTGTTATATTGTTTAATTTTAATTTAACTAATTCATGTTTTTTTAATTTTGACTCTGATTACCCCATAGACTGACTTTCATTGTCCGCACATACGGAATCAAAATATATATTATTTAATATTAAATTGTACTCTGTTATTTTGTGTAATAACGAAAAAATGTTAATGCTACTAGATAAATTATGAATTCTACATTGCAATTGATAATAGTCAAAAGAAAAGACAGAATTATTTGTGATTTTATAATGAGTTTTCCTTAAGTAACGCCGATTTTCCGTCTCTTCTAATAGAGGAAAAAAGTTATAATTATTAAGATATAAGTTACATCGTGTATTGCGTACATGGATATGTTTTACATTAAAGAATTACCATCAATATATATTTCCGCTTTTATAGAAACACGTACTAGTTTGATGGGCAATATCAAACGACCCCGCCGGACCACAAGCGGTTCATTAATCCCCAACACACACGCAATCTTCCCGCAATAAATCAGAACTCACAGTTGGAAGTAGAAACACTAAACTCATTGGGGTAATAGAAAGTTTCAAAGATACACATATAGGAGTATCGTAATAAGTAATCTACATACATTCATAGACGATAGGATGGACATCTTTTCAAAGATCCTACATTAAATCATACTTTGCAAAAAAAATGGTAAGTTTCTGCCCCGGTTGGAAAAACTGACATAGGTACATACATAGTTAAAGAATCAATCACTGAACGCATTTGTACCACAACAACTCGAAACTAACACAACATTCGATCTTTACTACATTATAGCAAATTCGTCATCTATGATAACACATCGAATAGTCCCATAGCATAAATAGTTTTCACAAATAGGGTGTCGGTGCCAATTAATTTCGCCGGGTGAGGCCTAGCGTCGGGAATTAATTATTTAATGAACGCCGCCACCCGTCGTCTTTGTTGCCAACGCGCTGCAATAAATTACCGACAACTTCATCATTTGGGAACACTTTTCAATTAGCATTTTAGCCTCCGCTAATGAAATTTTTATCCTGCACATTCGAATCTGTCACCTGAATACTTCTCATGTTTTATTTTCATAAAGTACTTGTCTTATGGAATTGAAGTTGAAAATAATGAGATGCCATAAAATACTTATGATTGCTACTAGCTTATGACTGAAGATTCACGCAAAACTTGCAAAGCGATGTTATAAATACAATAAGCATAAAAGTGTGATTATCAGTAAAAGTATGTTGTACACTACCAGAAAATTAAATAGGTATTTATTTTTGTTTACTGTCTACACCCGTATTACGACTTAAATTTTATATGCCATTTTACAATATTCATGAAAAATCACACACGTTTTCTTTTCTTGATCTTCCTAAATGAAACATATTATAAATTTACAGGAACCAGTAAACTAATCTGAACTGCACCTATATCAAAAATAAATAAAGTTCTTACCCTTGAAACATATGTATATAAAATAATAAATGTCTTTTCGTTTGTTGCAGGACGTGCTATTGAGCGTGTGTGCACGGGCGCGGACGGAGCAGGCATGGTATCAGCGGCGCGCGCGCTCCTCGCTGCCGTCACCCGGGTACTCCTACTCGCAGACATGGTCGTCGTGCGGCAGTTGCTTTTGGCTAAAGACAAGGTAGAGCAATATTGTTCCCACATCGTCATCTCTCATCATCGACACTTATTAATGTATCCATTGCTGGGGCATAAACCTTCCCTATGGATGAAGTCGAATCTAATCTAATAGGGTGAATAGGTTATGACCCACCACGCTGTATGTGTTAGTGCGTATTGGTGGTTGTTAACGACTGCAGATGCAGCCGGGACTGGCCACCCATCCTATGACCAGCCATTGCTAGTTGCTTAACTTCCGAATAGTAACGCTAACTACTGCGCCATCGAGCTTCCCAAATACTATAGCAGTCATGTGTTAGAAACAGTCATAATAGCATTTGTCTTTGCCCTTGCAGAAACTACTTTATGAAGCGTTTGTCTTTGTTTTGGGGCCAGGTAGTATAAGGTTAGTTTTGGTTCACCGCCGCCATCATTGACATGTGTGCTCAATAGATAAAAATTTATTATTTCTTCTGCACAAATTCTTCTTTTTGGACTTTTACGCTCGTATCCATAGTCGAGAGAAGTAATTACTTGAGAATATGGCATATTATAAGCAAATATTTTCAACCAATAGACGAAAATTTCAATGAAATAAGAACTGTCAATAGGTAATACGAGTAATAATAGTATTCTTACTACTTCATCACAGCTACACATAAACTACATCATTCAAATTTTTGCTTATTTATATTTGATCAAATATTGGAAAATGCTTAAAAAATCTACTTTGCACTTTATGAATGCAAAATTGATCAAATATAATAAGAATATTTTTGTTTATTTGTTAAAAATATTACTTGCTTAAGTAATTACTTTTACTCAACTAAAGATACGGGTGATATTGTCGACATAAGAATTATACGAATCGTGAAACAGCGAAACCCGTGCTCGAACTCCCTATGTGACAGAGCTCCAGTATCCATACTAGTGTATAATTTAGTTTTCACTCGCCAACATCTGCTAACGTATTTTAGTGAAGTTAACCTCTACCGTTCTGAAACATCACAAGTTTCATTGGAACTTAACACTTACCTTGCTCCAAGTTATCACTAAACCAAGCTCGAAGTAACAGTCATTATTCCGTTATGACCTATGTGTAGTGAATTAAATGTAGTAGCATTTGATTTTTGTTAGTGTGAAAACAATATATTAAAGTAATTTTATTGAATAAGTTCTTTATTGGGTACGTCAATTTATTATTAATATAAGATTCTTCATTTTAAATACCCCTCGTTCATCATCCTCGGTATCATTCTAACCTCGCTGTGCCTCGGTTTAATTTGTTTAATATTTATAATTTGTTATTAGTATATTTACCCTCGTATCTGCATATAGAAGTAATTACTCGAGTTAAAGTTACTTAAGCATATATTTTTTCTATAGAGGAGAATTTGAACGAAGTAAAAATTGTTAATAGCTGATATTAATAATGGTATTAATTAATTCAAATTCTTGTTTTTTTGGTAATGATATCTGTTTAAATAGTGACATATTTTCGAGAAATTACTCCCCTGAATAAAGCTACGAGTGTTAGACGCCAGTTTAGGTTTTATGTACGCAAATGCTCAAATATGGCTTCGTTCAACATAAATCGTTTTATTATTTTTTATTGCACGCACAGGTGGCGCGCTCTTTGGACAGATTGGAGTCGGTATCGAATTTTGCCGAGTTCGTGAGAGCATTCACGGAATTCGGAGGCGGCATGGTCGAGCTCGCTCGACTCACGGCGGAGAGACGGGCGGACCTTCGTGATGAACGTAGAAGAGCGCAGGTTGCTGCAGCGAGAAACGTACTCGAAAGATCCACACTCATGCTCCTCACATCCTCCAAGGTATAAACCGTCATCAGCCTATTAAGACTCCCTCTGGGACACAGGCCTCTACCTGAGAAGAACGTACTATAACCCAACATGGAGGCCTAATACGTATTTCAGATTAGTGGGTATAACTACAAATGCAGATAGGCAAACGGTTTAAGGTGCGTCCCTAAGCACGAAGGAGCTCGATTCAATAAAATATGGTCACCCATCAAATGATCAGTTTGCGAACGTTGCTTAACCACCGTATCGCAGGACTTGTCAAAGTTTTCATTCTCAATAATAGGTAATTCTTTAGTTGAAAAGTCTTAAGTTGAAATATACTACAGATATATAATACAGATCTTATGAATATAAGTAATAACGTGCTTACTTTCTCCCTATATCGGAAATGGTTACCAACCACAATGTAATTTAAATAATGTTGTAAAACATATATCGTCCAAGGACTGGTATAAATTACCAGGTATCAGATTCATAGATATAGTGTATTGAATTTAACACGCTGACCTTCTCGAGGGATTGTTATTAACATCAACGGATTGCAATAAATTTTCCTATCCCAAAGTTCGGCGAAGCGGTAGCTCCCGTAAATTAGCCCTGTCAGGAGGTAGCCCTATCAATTATGTATGACCATGACAATCCTGAACAGTCGCAGTAACAGCGTAGAAAACAGATAGTATACTTAATATGATTCCTTCTAGAGACTTGCAAGCAAGTAAGGAAGATTTGTGATCTCGCTTTACGAGTATTATAGGATGTTGAAGGCTAAAAAATCTCTTAGACTATTTTGTCTTATTATATAATATCCTACAATGAAGGTCGTTATTACGTCTTTCTGTGTTCTGTAATTTCTACAGTAATTTATATCTATGTATACATAGTATAATAAGAAAGTCGCTTCCCGTAGTCATTACGCTGTTTTAAACTACACAACAGATTTTAATGCCGTTTTCGTCAATAACATAAGTGATTCAAGAGGAAGGTTTATTTGTATGTATAAACTAGGACCACGCAGGCGAAGCCACTGGCAGAAAGCTAGGTTATTCTCCGTCTCCTGTCACTTCCTTTGTCTAAACCACGCAAAAGATTTTAATGCTGTTCACAGTTGAATAAGGAATCTCTTATCTATCATATCCTTTCACCAACACCCGTGCAATGCCGAGTCCAATCGCTTTTTAGTTATATTGTTCAGAGCAAAACAAATATGCAGGTTGTTAAATATATAGCATAATCACAAGAGTAAAATGATATACTAAATCTAAAAGCCATTACCTTTTACGCAGTTTTTTTTTTGTATTTATATTAAAATATCCTGAAAACTCAACAGCTATCAAAACATGCATTTCAAACATAATCAATAATAACCCAATTACAGGTTTCCAAATATAGATACAGTAAAATCATACCTGCGCTATAAATTATCTGGAAGGAAAATATCATTATGTATATTCTTTGTACCAAATTGCAGAGGTACAGTCAAGAAGTTTATATATTTCAGTTTCTTGGGTACAATAGATAAGGTCATTGATGATTAAGAGAGTGTTTTGCTCAATTTTGTGAACAGGCCAAAGATGCTGTCGCAAAAAGAGTAAAATGATAGACTAAATCTAAAAGCCATTACCTTTAGACCTTTCGTAAAGTGGAGGCGTACGAAGAAGAAGGCACTTGAATTATTTTCCACCAGATAATGTAATATTATAAAAGTAACATCATATAAGCTGCTGGAAACGTTGTATATTTATTTTGAAATTTGTAAGATTCCCACGTGATATAAAACAAACGAAGGCAAAAATTGCATGGCAGAAGATATTATAAATAGCTTCTGATGAATTGAGATTAATATTATTAACAAACATTGTATTTATTAGTAATCTATTTTGATTGAAGTAAATCTATCTAATTCAAAGGCTACATTCAAATCAAAACCTAACCTCGTATGAATAAATGTCATGTAACAAAATAATTTAAATACAAATTGAGTTCTCGAAAACCAAAATAATAAAGAGCACAGCGGGAATTTGTATTATGTCGCTCGCAATTTGAATCTAGCAACGGTTAAATCAATGTGGAGTCGTCCTCTAGAGGTTGTATTGTGAGGGAGGCGTAGTGGAGTCGCAACCAGCCGCAATATGGCGCCGCCACATCCTCACTTTCATTTAAAAATAGGAGCAACTCTCTTTTGCAACGCTTCCTCCTGTTGTATTTGGTGCGTTTCATACGTTTTAGTTCGTTATGAGTTTGGTAACGTTCTTTTTTGCGGCTTATCAAATAAAATAAAACGCAATCTATTTATATTTGACGGTTCGATGATACTAAACAAACGGTTATAAACAACGTCACATATATTCCACAGATTTCAATTTAAATAGCTAACTAACTCTTAATCTAAGAGCTTACCCTTCTGTGTTAGGAAATATGAAACAAAGAATGTATCCGAGACAGTCATAAACCTGACAGAGAATTGAGACCTCTCGCGCCCCTACCGCGTAACTGTAGTCCCGATTGATTTTTCAAAATTAAGACCTGAAATATCAGTCCAATCCTAGATTAATCCTGGGGTGCGATCACGATAGCGACTAGCGACATCGTAGCGATATTATGGCGATATTTCATTCTCGACTTTACTAATCAAATAATATGTCCTATTTTTAATAAATAAGACTCTTAAGCAGTAGATTAGATAAATAAGTAAACTATGTAATAACTTATATCCCCAATAACAAGTTTACATGTATTAAGTTGATTAATAGTGAAATAAATTGTTAAGTTTATTTTATAATAAGTTTTAAGTTCGTAAATAGTTAAATTAATTTTAAGTGATTAACACCCGGTTTCTGAATTGAGAATTTAAAGTTAAGCACGTTATAACCCGTATTTAAACCATCTTAAACGCCAATTTAAAAAGGTTTTCGTTTCTGATTTTAATTTTTTTAATGATCAGTTGAAAGCAGTTTAATAAAACTAGAACATTTTGCCAATTGGAACGTAAAGAACTTAGGAGAATAATCAGGTGAAATTTTGTACTTTTCACAATTCAGAAACCGGCTGTAAGTTTATTAAACACAATTATTACTTAAAATTAAGTTAACAGTTTACTTATCTATTTAATACATGTTAACTAGTAAAAACTCGAAGCATCTTAGTTTAACGGAACACAGGAGCAATAGCGAAAGACAGCTCATAATAAAAGATGTCATTTGCAACTGTCAAAGTGATTCACAAGCTAGTGCTTGTTGGTGTAAATGATCGACGTCGCTCGCAGCGAGACCGACCACTAATATATTACCGGTCGACATAAAGCGCACTACTAAAAGACAAAGCCTAAGATAGATTATTTCTACACTTTACAGTATATTCTCAAATAAGTATACTAACAGAAGTAATGAAAAAAATAAATAAATAATAAACCTAGAAATAAATCTAATAGCCACATTTAAACTCCATTCTTGTCATCTTTCCCATACATAAATATTAACATTTTTGGCTTCCGAACTTTTTAATTTTGTTCTTTTCCTTCCTTTTACATTATTTCCTATTCCATCTTCAATATATAGTTTTTAATTTAAATACAAACATCTTCGAGGAAATCAAATTGCATCAACTCGAGAAGCCTACTTTTTCGTTTCTTATTTTTTTCTAATAGGGTTTATATTTATATCTGACATTGCTATTGCTACCTTTCTAAGAATATAGACATTACTGGCTTTCCGCCAGCGGCTTCGTCCGCGTGGTCTATAGGGAACCGTTAATTTGAATATCGATTCATATCATTGCACGTATATAGTTACACTGACAAATTGAATAGTAAACAATGGTTACCATGGCAACGTTTTAATTCCTGTTTTTCGGGATAAAATATGACTTGTATTCACCGCATACGATGTAGCTTCCCGTAGGTGAAAGAATTTTTAAAATCGGTCCAGTCTTTTCAGAACCTATTCGTTGCAAACAAACAAACAATAAATCTTTCTTCTTTATAATATTAGTATGTAAGTAAGTAAAAACAAACGAGTTTGTTACACCAATATCTAAATAGCGCAATTTCTCAGTGTGTGCTCTCAATGAAATAGGTCAATTACAAGGTGAAAGACGAGCAAAATCTCGTTTAGTTAATTCTGCCCGCCAGTCTCGCTATCAATTTTTATTAATTTAACAGAACTTTGCATTTCGTTGTTGTTTTTAATAGTGATTTATTTTAAACATGATGCCATCTCAAATTATGATGATGCGTTGATGTCTTATTTATAACAACTATTTATTAATTAATAATTCGAATGCAAACAATCTTATGTTTGTGTCTAATTTTACATAATATATACCTATCGTAGCTGAATATTAAATGTGATAACTGTATAAAACAAAACAGCAAAAAAAGCATTATTTTCCGAGTTTCATTCGATTTTCTAAGTACCTACAAGATCTCTAATCAGATTTTGCAGAGGCATAACTTTCCGACATTCATCAACGTTTGTTGACTGCTAATTTACAGAAAAGGAGATTGTTCATTTGTATATACCATGGATTTTTTCCAATATTGAGTATTTTAATTTTATTAGACGTGTTTGCGGCATCCGGGCAGCGCATCGGCGAGAGAGAACAGAGACACGGTGTTCTGTCAGATGAGACGTGCTATGGACCTCATCCATTACGTTGTACGAGATGGACTGCCTGGTCACGACGAGCCATCACATGAGGTTTGATTCGAAACAACCTTTATCAATATAGATACATATTAAAAGCTTTTCGTTGATAAGTATCTCTTTAGAGCAGAGATGGTCAATAATCCGATGAATGATGTGTAGTTTTCGTTCAGGATGTCAGAATATTTATTATTGTACCTCATCCTAATATTAAATCAATATACAAACGTTGAATTAATAAACAGTAGGAAAATATCTTTGCTATCGTAATTCTAATGTTTAATCTAATTCATTTTGTCCCACTATTTGAGACTGGGCTAACGGAAAGAAAAACTAGCTTAAAAAAGACTCATCATTTACCTAGGCCTTAATGAATAACATTCAACAAATCAAATAATATTGTTAATTTTATAATTCTTTAACTTTTTTTATAATTAGTATAGTTTGGTTAGGTTATTATTCATATCATTATTTTTATCGGTACACTTGTTTAAGTAAATAAGTTCTTATTTTAAGAAAATACTCGTAATATACAGTTTTAAGTACAGTCAACAGCACTTCAGTTATACAAATCTGTCAAAACAAAACACATACCTCTATTCATTAAAATCTAAAGAAAACGAAACTTTAAAATAAATTCAAACATTCCATATTTTAATTCACAAGTCAGTTATATGTTTTTTATATTTCCACTAAAGCGCGTTTTTTTAATTATGACGAATTAAAAATATATAAAGCATATTGGGATTTCGCAATATGGTAACGCGAACTAAGGTATTCATATAGGAACTTAACAAATATCGATTAAATTCCATTGCGATGTTAGAATCCACAATCATTGTTGGTAATTGCTATCTCCATGTCTCACACTACACGGAAACCAAGTGTAAATTGAGCAAGCCATAACAATAGGAACAATGCTCTGAGAGCTTACAAGAATGTAAGTAAATAGGTAAGCCATATTCAGACATCACCAGTTAGGTGTTATGTCGTGTCGCTTCTTTATGATACGAATTCAAGTATGGGTTGAAAACAAATCGTCAACCCATACTTGAATTCGTATCATAATTAAAGGGAAGTGATGAATTCTACGGACTAATTTTATTTTACATTGGCGTTTATCGGTAAGTACCAACATTTTAATTAATGGTTTTAAAATTAAGAAGCCTTCTAAAGACGTTAAATTCGTTTTATCAACCCATACAAAGAAGTTTCAACTATGTTCCGTGCTTAAGTTATTATGACAATAATAGGCTAGTTGACAACATTTTTTATTTTATAAATAAATAGTCCAATATCGCAGAAATAATGTAGAATTAAGTAGCATTTCTGTGATCCATAGTTTCAGAGATACGATTTGTGGAGCTGCTGCTAGTCGGCCGAAAATGCTCCCTACAAATTTTAAAGCGCTAAGTGTCACACAGTGCTATGGTAGCGTAAAACATATGGTCGTCAAAATGAGCAAAATATAATCAGTAATAATGATTAAGATTAATTTAAACATCGAAATTGTAATATTCATTGAGGAAACTAATTACATTGTGTCGTACACATAGTGATACTAAACATTTTATTTATATCTGTTTAAATAATCATATCTCCATGCCATTTCTTATTTAAATGTATCTATATAAGTGACATACGTTTTTCATTATACCAATATTTTAAGGCGTTCTATAACTTTTTCTGGATAAGTAAAGATACATATTTTGAATGTTTGCATTGTACGGAAGCTTAATCTCAGAAGTTGAATGCTTCGGTACTAATATTTGTAATTACAATAGTTTATGAGTCTCGATTGCACCATCTTACTTTAGCAATAACAAACATGTTAAAGTACCTTTTAAGCAAATATTGAGCTGACCATTTGGCATGATGTCATAACTTCAACTGTCAACCGTAACCGGCTAAGCTTAGCTGGATAAAGTTACTGATTAACTATGCCAAGAAAAAAAATGGTGCAACGCATTACGAAATCAATGTTAAAGTCAGCGCGACAGTTATCGTCACATTTGACATAAGCCTAAACTTTAACTAGGTACTATTATGGTGCAATCTAGCCTAAATTTTGTAACAAAAAAAAATATCTCACTCGAGTAGTTCCAAAAGATGATTGTGTTCCGAACCGTCTAGCAGAACTGGCAATCTTGAGATCCATCTCTTAGCTGTCTTACAGAAAGAAGACTGTGTATTCAATATTGTCTCATTTGTTATAGTTATAATACAAACATGTGTTATTCAGTGGTAAATCACCTATCAGATACTCCCACTCAAAATTCCACCCATAATTTGGGGAATACTGATCTACTCTATACCTATAATCAGAACTATGCTTAATTTTATCCATTTATCGTTATCGAAGGTGTTTCACTGAATTATATAAGGACAGCTATATATTTGTGGAAATATTATATAGACAAGCCCTAAGAATAACTTGATAAGAAACATGCAAGCACATCACCCCTTTCAGAAACAGACATCTAACAAAGCTTGTCTTTTATAAATATATGTATATGTTACACGGTTCTGTAATTATCATATTCGTTTGGCAGACAAGGAAGTTCGAGAAGTGCGGTATACTTTTATGCTAAGGCGCCCCTAAAGGTTACGACACGAGAGGTTTCCGAGACACAATTGAGAGTATGGGCGTATACACAGTAGATAGTAGATATAATGCTGTAGAAAATTGCGCATCGATATTTCGTACTCATGCTGATAAAATTGATAACTGAAAACTTTTAGAAAAATAAGTTAAATTCACCGTATGACAGAAAATATCAAGCTGCATCTAATAATAAAACCAATTTTGTTTTTATAAAAATTGTCAGTTAAAAGATTTCACTAGTGTAATAAAACTTCTAGATTCAACCACACTTTCACACTGCTCCGGATACACGTCCTCACACCACCGCGTCTCGAACAATAATGCCCCTAAGCCAAGCCTAATTATCTTACAGCAAGACTAGTCAAACCAGTCTTTTTTTTTATCAAGCTTACACAACATCCGTTTCCGGACAAGTGACTTTATTTTATTTTAAAGTCCTTAGTTCTGTTCTGTGGATAAAAGAATTTGTTTAATTAAACTTATTAATTTAATCAATTTAATTAAACATATTTTATAATTGCATTTTACAATATTTTAAAACATAAAATTTCTTGTCTATTTCTTCTGTATTTCTAAGAGAATGAGAAAGAATTTAACTATTGTACAATAAACATATAAGCTACACTGACAAAAACTCAGTTATAGCACAACAGGCGCCCGGGTGCTCCCCCCCCCCCCTCCATTACAGAGAATTTCCCGATGATCATAGGTGTGAAGGCGCCCGGGTGCGTTACACCCCCCGCAGCATGGGTAAAGATGGGCTTGGTTGAAACAAAATGTTCGAAAAAGAAGCCGCCCATAGGGCGCTCGCATTTGATAACTGCCGCCACCGCGCTGGCTGTCCGCTTCCGTCACATCATTGTTGTACCGTGATGGTCCAAGACGATGCTCTTAGCTATCTCATGGCGTGCCACGGCGCCCCCCGACACGGCGGCGCCCGTGTGCATTGCACACCCTGCACTATAGGTTAAGCCGCCCCTGTTACACCTAAAATTCACATTATTTCGATTTCTTTTCATCATCATACACTGTTCTTAAAGATAAAATTCTTAAATATGCAACACATACAATGGTTTGTAAGTAATAAGTGTAAGTAATTAATAAAAAAAAGTTTTTATGCGCATCCATCTCATTTCCGGGCGCAGTGATATACATATAAACAGGGAGTCTTTTTGGCTTTACGCCCCCTCTTCATTTATACGCAATTGAAATAGTAATTCAAATATTATTATCATAATAGAAACCCGACGTTTTATTAAGATTTCTTAGAATGATACAAATGGTATTATAAAGTGTTGTATCACAACAAATGAAAAGGGCTTATACAAAATGTATCATTCTTATGCTTGGTTATAGCGTTATTTCTCTTTGACAACTGCCTCTACATATTTTACGACAATTTCTTAATTATCTTATTATTTAACTTGAAGCCCATACTTGGTTTTATTATATATAAGTGAGGTGCGGAAATGTAAGTATAAATAAATTCACTAAATGATCCTATTAGATTCACACGCCTATCTCTAAAAATTATCACGGAATAGTTCTATTTTCACCCCTCTTCGTAAATTCTAATGTTTTTGTTTCGAAACTGTTCAATGCATAAACACAACTCTTTTTTTTCCTTGTAGTTGAAACCTTTCTCGGATAGTCATGAACAGGTACAAAGTAATCAGTGTAGGTAGATGAGTGCCTTCTAATATTTTTTCTTTATCAATATCCGTATTGTATATAGATAGAATGCTTATGGTCTAAATAAATTATTATTCCATTTATTAACCGCGGAATGATACATTAGGTTGGACATGTGGAAAGAACGGCAGATTAACGAATTAAAAAATAATACGCGAAAGTGAAGAATGTAGAAGAGAAGCCACGGAAGGCCTAGTTAAGGTTCACTAGATCTCTTTGGCTTTAAGCTGTAATTATCGATGTAAATGTTGTTAATAAATAAATAAATGAAAATTAATTTCAACCAATTGCAAATATTCGTAAATACCAAGGACTCTAATCTACATCAGTTGGGCATGCCTAGTGGCATAAGGTTCTCCCTGCCTACCCCCAAAGGGATCTAACGGGTACGAAAATATAGAAAGATTATATTTATTATTTAATATATTATGAAATAATTATTTATTTAGACCTTGCTTCTTCATAATTATTTTATTTTAAACCGATTTAAATTGTTTAATCGTTTGGCGTGTATGTGTTAAACTATAAATATTACCGGAGTATTATAAGTATTGGCTGTAAATACTTTAAATCTATCTATGAAGAAGCATTATAAACGCACTTAATCTAGCTTAGCTAAACAACTTACTATAGAGAAATTTAGGTAATTTAAAAATATACTTAGGCATTTTCTTATTCACGTGTAACAGCGCTAACAACGCACTAAAATTGCTAAGGTATGTAGATAGTTGAGCTTCACGCTAAAATATCTTAACTATAAAAAAAAATCATCAAAAAATTGATAAAATCGCACAATTTACAGTTCTGTATGTCCTTCACTGGTGAGTAAAAACGTAATTAGGGGAATAATTAAAACAAATAGATGTTTATCATTTGAATACTGGTAGCTATCCTACGCTTAATGACCGCTAAGTATCAAAGTTTTCTATGACTATCACCGGTGTAAAAGTAGAATTTTCTTATTCTTTTCCAATTCATTATGTTAAGTCTTTTTAAATCTTAATTTTTTTTTTCTTTATTATACGGATTAAAGGTAACTTTTGACCCAAATATTGAGCAGGCCGCGCAGTGGGAGGCAGGGACCGCGCTGGGTGCACTGCGGGGTCTGACGGCACAGGTGCGGACCGCGAGAGCGCGCGGCGGCGCTGACGCAGCAAGGAGGCGGGCCCTCGCGTCGACCCTGCGCGCACTCGTAGAACGAACACACGACTTTACCGACTCTGCCTACACCTCACACGATCACAGACAGAGAATATTAGCGCTCGCGGAGAGAATAGCGTACGAGTTGGAAAGGCTAGTAGCTGTCGCAGTGTCCATGGTAAGCTATTGACATAATACATTTTAAAATTTCCCTCGCGCACAGCGAAAGTATGAGATTTGTAGAATGTTAACTATTTGTTTCTATTGAACGGCAAGGTCAGCTGTATGAGGTAATCCATATTTTTAATACATGAAACCAGCAATAACAAACAGACTACATCTAGAAACCATAAAAGCCACACAGACGAGAACATTGAACATCAAATCAAAATCAATAGTCTGCTACATACTTACAAACCTATAAACAATCCTTCAAAGGTAATTGGGCTTATCAGGAGGAGCAAGGTACCAGTGGATCGGGTGCAGCGCTAGAAAGTGCATGTACGGGTGCCACCGGTGCCGCTTCGGACCTAGAACGGGCGCTGGTGGCAGCCGCTAGGGACCAGGCCCGAGACCTAGCACCGCTCGCCGAAGAAGCGCGTCGCCTCGCGTCAGACCTCGCGCACATAGGTAACCTACGACGGAAAATAGGTACAGCGGTGCTTTAATAATGGGTTAACTCTTTTGCGTAATGGTCGGAAGAGTGCTTGTTGTTGTTGAGTGAAAGCAATTTGCATTATAATCTGGGCCGGATCTAGGAGTCGGAGTAGGAGTTACGGCACCAGTCTCAGAAGGGCGCCAAAATCATAATAATCTTTAGAAATTTATACACTTCCTCCTCAAAGGGCAAGGGAAGGTGCGGCATAATGTAAGGGCGCACTATCAAGTTTTTTCCCCGGTCGGAAGAAAATGTAAATCCGGACCTGATTATAATAATAAGTGTGATTTGAGATGACAATAAAATAGTCTTTGAAATCTGTATGTTGTTTAAGTCCGTACCATGACGCAAAGATGTTCCCCAGTACTAACTTGACTAACTTGCCAAAATTCTAACATTGTTAACAGATGGTACCCAAACTAATCAACTGTCGATTTTCAGCTAGTTCCTGTGGTGAGAGAGAATCAGAGAGACTGCACAATATAGCCAGCCGGCTGCATGAACAATTAGATCATATAATAGAGGTAAGAAGTATCATTAACTAATCAACTTCAAAACTAACACATGTTTTAAATTTTGTGTAAATGTGCAAAAAATCATATGATTCAAAATACCTCCAAGCTGACTCTATCCCTAGTAAACATTGATTTCAGGTATGCAAATTGTTAAGACATATAGCTATGTCAGAAACCTTACAAGTAAGCGCCAAATTTGCCGAGATCAACCTGAGGATATACGGTCCTCAAGTGGTAACGGCGGCGCGGACGCTGGCAGCTCATCCGGGGAGTGCGGCCGCGCGAGAGAACCTGGACGTGTTTTTGGATATGTGGGCGTGGCTACTCGCCGATGCGGCGAGATTAGCGAGGGAATTACTCGATCTCACAGACGATCGACCAGACAAACAACAGTACAGCAGCCTTCCTAGGCCAGGGGTATAGTATCTACATCTAAGTTACTATCATCTACTAAAAATCTGAACTAAAATAAGTCTAAATTACATTTTTTTCCATCCTTCACATCAGTCGATGCAGGACTGTAATTGAGACGTATTTTATTTGAATTGTAGCATTTCAGTGACCGAAAATCGTGGGCCTTATTATCTCATTTATTAGTTATATCTCGCCTCTCAGTCGCTAACAAAAAATTGTAATTAATCTCTTCATACTACAACTTCATTGATAATCAAAGATACTACACAATTATTAAAATATTAGTTTATTCATATCTGTCTACTGCACTGTCTAGAGGTCTAAACAGTCTTTTTTTTCGATAGTGACACCTGGTAATTGTAGAATTCCTATATCATTTTACCCCGTTATCATTCACTAATTACGTATAAATAATAGATACTGAACTATATATTGTCCAATATAAGTTGATATTTTAATAAAACTTTATTTCTCAAAGAAACATGGTACCACGAGCAAACCATTAAAAGCGGTACGTCTAGACTCCGACGAGCAAGCTAAAATTGCAAAGTCTGGTCTAGAAATGAAGATGATGTCCTCTGAGATGGACGCAGAGACTGAGAAGTGGCAAGGCGCTGCCGCTGATGAAAACAACGACATTGTGAAGAGGTATAGACATTAAAATATGTGATAATTTATTTATTAAGTAGTAACAAAAAAGTAGTCATAGTATCGACTAACGAATCCATGATAGAGAAGATACATAATAAAAGAATGATTCCCTTTCAGGGCGAAAAATATGTCTTCCATGGCCTTCGCCATGTACCAGTTTACAAAAGGCGAAGGTCGTCTAAATACTACCCAAGACCTCTTCACGCAAGCAGAGTACTTTGCAGAAGAAGCAAATAGACTTTATAAAATAGTACGACAATTTTCATATCAGGTACGTACGGAGAACTAAATTTTCTAGCAAGGGTTCAAAAAGCAAAAAATGAGTTCCGTTTTAATTTTTATTAATTTCAGGTGCCAGCTGGAACGACAAAAAAGGAATTGTTAGAACATCTAGATAAAGTACCTACGTACGTACAGCAACTACAATTTACTGTAAAAGAGCCAACGGTGGGCCGCGCAGCCACCTTCAGTAAAGTGGACAACGTCATCCAAGAGACTAAACACCTCATGAATGTCATAAGCAAAGTTGTAACCACATGCTTTGACTGCGCGAACAAGGTGACCCATTTTCTTTATCATCTAACAAAATCTACTTTTTTTAATATGACGACCTCTTTGAGCAACACGTCGCACTTTTTGAAAGTTTAGTGAATTTCTTTAGGAAACATAAAAATGTTAGTGCATTGGAACATAATGTTCCTTAGGTACCTTTGCCGTGGGAAGCCAGTGTGGGAGTGGTTAAAAGGCACCAGAGTGTTGCACCTGTTAAGTACCTACTTTAAAGATTCTATTTCATTCGTGACTGTTAGACTTTCGGGAAACGGGTGAACAAGTGTGATCACAGTTTCGAGGTTTATTCTTGAAATATAATTACTTGACATATAATGTTACTGAAATTTATTCTAATACTTAAAAAGACTAGAATTATATTGAACAAGAATAAACCTTCTTAGTTATTTAGATTCTAGTTTGATATAGTGATAGAATATTTACCTTACTCCCATTTTACTTTACTAAACCTAAGTTTTATTTATTTTGTTTATGTTTTCCTTTGGCCGTGCTCCGATGGTTCATCCTCTCAAAGGGTCTTATACCGCTGGAGAAAGCGATAAACAAAACCTCAGCGAATACAAGGGAGGACTCGGTCTGTCTCCGCCATGATCTATTATAAACATTACCGATATTAATGTCCTCTCGTACTTCTGTGTGTACTGTGTATGTAGTTACGCATGTTTTGTGTTATCATGCTCATCGCCAAGAGCTTATGATTCAAATCCATTCGCGTTATCGCTATTATCTGTACTATCAAATTCCTTGATCTTAAAAATAGCCATATCAGCTAGGCTACAATAAGCTATTACTCTTTGTGTACAAACATTATTCGGATTATATTCATAAATTAAATTATGACTTCGATTCATTTGCTTTTACATTTTTTTTTTTCTTTTACGTTATTTTTATTTCGTATTTCCAGTATTCCCTGTGTATGCCTGAGAGAGTCCCTATGCATTGGAAGCCAAATTTACGAAAAGCATCCACATTTAAGAGTGAAAATAGTGTATTGAATGGTTGAAGTAGGTATTAAGTGTCAGTTCAATACTGTGATTTTGTCTAACATAATCAGTTTCACCGCAATGCAATAACATGAAAACTGATAAAATCTACTTACCAATATTGTGATTTGCCGCAGTTTAGCGTAGCATTTGTTTGATGGTGTATCCTATAGCTAATTTTTGAATGTTGTCGATGTGGTGTTGCCATGAGTTTTAACTAGTTTAGCATCTGTGTGGTATTTAATAATCGATCTTAAAGTTTATAAAGTTTGTCATTATAAACTTTAAGTATTATACTTATCCATTTTAACTAAAGTAAACGCTAGATTTGTTTCTTAAAAATATATAAGAAATCGTCACTTTATAAACTATCGAAGAAAAAAATCACAAAACGTGATCTATATAAAGTCAAAATCATAGTTCCAAAACGCTTTGTGTTGACTAACAAAACGCGTGCATGGTGTAATCATTGGGTACTTTCTTAGGCGTTGCATAGATTCCGATGACTGACCTCGGATTCGGCGACGGCTCTTTCAATAGCGTGTTTTTGTCATGAATGATGCGCATCGAATCCGGGTTTGGTTGTATGTTGTCGGGGTTAACATGTATGTCGTGTGCAGTACAAACTGGACTTCACGGGTCTGTCAGCGGGCGGGGCGGGCTCCGGCGGCGGACGAGGTACCTCCCGAGAAGAGGACGGCGGCGGGGGTGTGGGAGGGGACGCCAAGCCGGGGGGGAGTTCATCAGACACGGCCATGTGACAGTACGGCATGGGCCGGCGCGGAAAAGGCGACGCGCGCCGGACCAGGGTCAGCTTCCTCTTGTTTTAAGGACGAACGTCTTACGAAACAACACGTCGCCAACGGTCGGATGGACGAATATCGCTCCGTGTCACGCATAATACTGGCATAGAAATCTTTTTTCCCCATCCATATTTGTTTTAGCTATAACGTTATAATAAAGCTATGTTAAAGAAAAAGTTTAGGAATTAGAATAGCGTTTATTTTTTAATTTATCAAATGCTAGAACAACGAATAGATTCGTGTCAGTGTAATGCGTTTCCTGATCAATATTTCGTCCTGAGAATCAAATGGATCTGTGACTACATTATAATTATTATGCCTATTTAAATGTAGACATCGATACGTTTGATGCTTTAATACCGACCATTTTTGCTGTGAAACTATTGAATATAGCAACTACTGAGTGCATATTCAGTGGATTACAGCATATTATAGGTAATAATAAGATGGACAGTACGATATACAAATTAAGTTTTTAAATATCACTTGCGACACACAGAATTGCGCCAATTTAAGAGGCGTATTAGAATAAGTTTGGACTCGTAATTGATCTATAGAGTAGATCGCAAGCGTGCGCACGCGGCGCATTTGGCTGTGGGTCTAAGTATTTTACTGTTGTTTAATATTAACTTGTTACTACTTAGGTCTTTAATATTAACACTACGTGTCATACTTTCTCAGAGTTTCTGTATAACTAGATTAGAAAACATACGCTGGCACTTGTTGCAAATTACAAATTTTTGCCTCGACGAAATGACTTTGTGATCAATAATAAGGAGAAGAGTGAAAATGTACAATAATTAAATACTTGTTACACTTACATAATGTTACACATTGTTACATACAATACGTAAACAATAACACAAAGAGCATATTTTTTTAATTTTCCCCATGACCTATTTATTAAGTGTACCCTAATATATAATTCTTTATAATATGTACCCTATATCACCCTGCTATATCTATGCTTGATATTAGAGCACATTCCGTGGTCCTGACGCACTTGTTTTCTTTATGCACGTACAGCTTCCTACATTTATTTTCAGCAATGGTAGGTATCCGTATCTTACATGCTATACCACCACATTCTACTTCATACTAACACAATTGTTACTCTCGCATTCGATGTTATGCATTAGTCGTTTCAATTTCAACGAGGTTTGTAAATATAAATTTATAGAGAGGTAATGATGTTCGATATGGCCGGTGGCTGAACATTGCATGATTGTGAATCGAAATAATAGATGTGTGTTGCATGTGTGTACTTGGTTATCGTAATGGTTGTCGTACTTCATCTTGTTACGGAGATGTTTAACGTTAAGATGAGGGAACTTGACTCTGGTGGCTATAAGCACCCACGTTCGCCCGAAACACAAGTGTTATATAGACAGGAGCGGATAGCCAGTCGGCCGCCGCGAGCGCATATAAAACTTAACTCAAGAACAGGACCGTATCTAGATGCAAAACCTACAAGTTTTATGAAATAAAATAAATAAGTACCCAACGGCATCACTAATTGCTAAAACATGGTTGTGACATTATTAAAAAAAAAAACTAAAATTATTTAGCTACAAATTGACTGACTACAAAAAATAAAGAGAAACAACTGAAAATAGAGAAATAATACCGCAAAATTTTTATCTTAAATAAAATCGAAACATATTTAGATACACCAACTTTTTTTGAGGTCTAAGTTTTGGTAAAACTTGTAGTGTTCCCTAAGTTAAAACTAAGCAATTAAACAAAAAAAGAATCATCAAAAAAATCATTGCAATCCGATGCCTAAAAAATTTTTCACACGTGTTTAGAAATCCATACAGACCAGCATATATGAATATAACGCCATTCCTCAACACCTCGAATTAATAACCAGCTTTTTTTTGAAGTCGGTTTTAAAATACAAACGTTAATTTGTAATTATTATTAATACAGTTAATTTGTAAAATCGCAGTTGAGTTATAATGTGTCCCTAGTTACGTTCCTGCTTCAATGAGATTATAAAACGCTGGCTGCATGTTGAGAGCTGATCATATCACGCGGCGTGCATGTCGCATCATCGTGCATATCTGGAACGTCGCTATATTAATCCATTACGCAATAATCAACATATCACTTAGAATTTTTAAGAAATTGTTACTACTGCAAACAGAGACGACAAAGTCGTTATTTAGTGTTTAAGTAGACATTGTTAAGTGACAGTAAGAACGTGCCTATATGAAACAATGTTATCGTCTATCTTAGGTGTTCTCTGTATCAAAATGTATGTGATACAGGCTTTCTAGTACTTGAAAACAAATTGAAGTAGTAGATATGTAGACTACAACAATCTACAATAATAATTCTATACTGATTTTCGTGATGTTCTATTTCTGCTAAATTTGCTGTTGTTCACTCTTATGATTCTAGTATAATTCTTCTTAATTAGTTATCAGTTACATCTGTAAAGCTATAGTAATAAGCTTCCATCCCACCGCTACCACTTATTGTATCTGCGTCCGCGCCGGTCGTCTGTCTCGCTCGCATTTCTAGCGGTCTATATAGCACTGTCTGTTTCACTAAAGTACTTTAAGAATTTACTCTACAACTCTAATCTTATGTACAACCTTGGCTTTTGTTTTATATTTGTAAAGCATTGTTAAACTTATCTTACTATTAACGTCTACTCTTACATTTATTGCCTTCTTAATTAATTTTATAAAGTATTTAGACTACTCTTGAATAAGACCGTTTCAATTTTAATATGACAAGTTAGGCTAGTTAATTCACTAACAGTATTTTACTAATGTAAAGAGCTTGATGAAGCTTTATATTGAAGTGTTGTGAATCGAACTTTGTGGCCATGGTACATTAGATTCAAAGTTTAGCATATATTGCTTTGACTGTTAATATCATTAAGTTGAATAAGATTTTTTCTCACGTTACAGTGATTAATACGAGTTTATAATTCAACTAGCCCTTTTATATGCTGAATTAGGTGCCCTTTAATGCCCTTTAACGGCTCTACAGTGACACAAAATTCTATATTTGCTAACATTATTTATTACTTGCTCTACAATTTCATTAAAAAATTAATATATATAGAGAATCTTTAAATACACATTTTGATGGTACTAATTTACTATATTTCAATTTTAAAATATTAAAAATACGTAGTTACACTTTTACGACTCTAACTTAAGCACCAGGCAATATTTTGAAACGTGCCAAACAAATCACGCAAAAGTCAACGTTCACTAAAATTCAACGGTTTTTAACCGAAATAACTATTTGATAAGGAAATCGTGTTTAAAAATTGAAATAAATCAGCTTGTATAGTTTACGTATATTCATAAACAGCGATGCAACGAGATTATTTTACATCGTTGCGTGCATAATTAAATATAAAAGATAGTGTTCTGTAACGTAGTAGCGATTAACGTTGAGATATTATGTAGATCATTTAATATACAATAGCTGTGCCATTGTGCCTCCTCGTGTAGTGATAACTGTTGGATTCTATTTGCGAGTTAACGGATGCAGCGCCTCAGCAATACGCGCGTCCTTCGAAATGTAGGAGTGTATAAAGATACAAGAAATATTAATACATAAGAATTTGTAAAGTAATGAAATTCACCATTAATCTCGCCTCTGTGCGAGGTAATATGTCATAAAATAACATAAAACGTGAAACGAGTTTCTAAACAGTAGTTGAAGTTAGAAAAAGAGTATAATTACATAGGAGCAACCTCTAAAACTATTCCTGTATATTTATTTATTTATTGAGCTTTATTTACCAATAAAAATGGTACAAAAGGCGTACTTAATGCTTATATCATTATCTCAAACTATATAATATAGTTTGATAGAATGCATTAGTGTACTTGTATACTAATATGGTTATTTCAGTTTTTATTATAAAATATTATTACAATTATAGCACTTGTACGCATTCAAATGTGGATAAACTACTCTATTTTTATCCGACTACACATATTTTTGAAACGCAATTCCAAATAGGGCCTTTATACACTACTACATTTTAGTCTCAAACACAATATGACTTCCATCGCAATAAAATACCGTAATTATTGGTTAGTGTATAGTAAGTACTTAGAAATACAGTAATTTGTGATATTACAATATACTTTATGGAGGTCTAGTACAACGTCACGTAAAATTTAAAAGTTAAAATCACAGGTTAATAATTGTAGGTGCAACTTGAGTTACACCGAGGTCAAAAACACCAAATGTTATAGTACTTTATAAATTTAATGCAGTTAATAATACATAGCTAGTTATAGTAGACACGGCAAAGCTCGCAACGTGGACCGAAGGAAACGCAGTGGTTCCCTTTTCCCTAATAACTTACTTGGAAACTAATATTTTTCACTCTAAAACCTACTCTAAAACAAAATTTATATGAAATTGAGATGGTGAAAAATAGTTATTACATTCATTTTCTAAATTAATTCTTCGGCGTCTCTAAAGTCTTATAACTGTAGAATAAATAAATTAATACCTGGCAAGTTGAGCTTCCCACTTATGATGTAGATAACTAGAGTTTTAAAATATCTTTTTGTCTAATTACCCACGCGTGGTAAGTCTGGGTGAAATGAATAAAATGTTGGAAATTAAATGAACCAAAATAATTATGATGTAGTAACATTTAGCCTAATGCAGACAAATGCTGTATGGTGTAATCGGAGGTGCAAAGTACCTACATTTAGTAATTATATTTTTATTGTTCTCATACATTTAACGTGTAAATGATTGTAACCCTGAAGGAGTAAAACCCCGCTAAATAATTAGGTACTGTAAATAAAATTAATTTTGATAGAATATTGATTCAAATGAAGATAGTTATTTCACGTATCGTCAAATATTTTAAATCAATATTACATTTAATTTATGTGTATAAAGAATAAAGATTGTATTGTCGAGAAACTGTTGTGATTGTTATATTTGAAGTTGCATTTTCATTGAAATAATTAAGTAGAAGTATATTTTCCATAGTGCTGCCAAAGATATTATATTAATGTAATACATAGATGTTAGCTACGTTGTTTACATAACAGAATATTTTGAGGTTGTTCGTGAATTTATGGATTGTATTTTGATGTGACCGAAGAATGTATAACACTGTGTATGTGATCTAATACATCACCAAATAAAAGTGATTCATATGATATAAGGTTTATTATTTTTGTTGCCCTAAAAAAAAGAGTAATCACAAAATCAAACAAGACAGCCTATATATTACGTATTTATTTATATTCAAAGGTACAATATATTACATCGTCTGAACTTTCACCCATCAAACATCACATATCCATTGTAATGACTACGCAAATAAACCGTATGGTAAATTGGGCCGAGGCCCTACATAAAAATACAAAATTAAGCATAATCTTACTACTAAAATCCTAACCTTTAACGCGGAAGTCAATACTGCAGAGTAGGAAATAATACAAAATTTAACCGCGGCGCATGCTGATTAAATAAAGATTATGCACGTCTCATAAATTACATAAGTATTAGTAGAGTAACTTGTATTATATATCTGTTTCATATAAACAATGACTAAACATAAATATTTACATAAATAATTAATGGAGAGTAGGAATAAACGTGTTGTGTGTGCAATTCCAATGACAATTTCATTACAGAAATAATCTGATTACATGATTTCTAATCCTGGCCAAAATCGTCAGCAATGGGAGTATTAAAACCTTAATATATGAATGTTATTGAAGCATAAAGTACTTAAAATAAATGAAATTAAATCACAGTACGTCAGGTTTTTTCTAATTTTTTCAGATAATAAAGATGGGAAGCGTTCATGATAATGACAATGAATTTTGTGTATTAGTGATCTCGCCCCAAATCCTTACCATACAACAAAGAAATGCTAACACCTAGCTAGGGCTAGACTATGTCACAACTGAGCTATGAGCGTATTTATATCACTAAGCACAATAAAATGTATACTAATCGAGTCATATTGCTGTTAATTAACGATTCACATTATCAAAATCGTCATTCAAAATTAATTTTGAAGTCTATTTTAAAATGTTATGACTCGATTTATCCAATCAAACGCCTATTCGATAACTCGAAACGTTATCCGAATGCAACGATCAAGCCAAATTTGTATTAAATTTAAATGTAATGATAAAGAAGTAAAAAATATTTCTTATCTAATTTCATTTTAAAATTTAGAATGGTGTGTAGTCCTATTTTTAAATCACGAATTAACTACATTAAGTGTATCTCTACTTATAAATATAACAGAAGCAGATTCAAAGATGTACATATTTATATAATTTAAATAATTTATCTGTATGGTTTTTTATGTATGCTATATTTATTAGTAAAGACTATTTAAATATCTTTAATATTACATAGATTTTGAGCGGAATATTCGCCATGTCTAGGCAAATATCTATAGAATTGTTCAAATTTGATAACTTTTTTTTTTGTATTCAAATAAATAAATGTCATTACAAGCTATTTGGCATCTTTGTGGACGTCAACGTCGAATCGTAAACTGTCGTTTGTGCTTCTGATCGTTTTAACTCTAATGAAATAACTGATAAAAAAAAGAACTTAAACATTCACAATAATATATAAAAAAATGTCATACAAAATTGCCTTTGGAAACATAAGCCGTAAGAAAATTAGGCCTCACTTATATTTATAGTAAATGCTTTGTCATAGAAAAACCCCTACAAATAAACAGACGAAAGCAACGCCTAAAATCATTGGAATCTCCTCTTAATGCCAGACATTTATTATAATGTTCTGTAGTCTTTATTAATCGTTGTTCCATTATACTAGTTAACCGTACAACTATTACACGCTAAGCTAGTGTGGTGCGTCGTGTTCAGACTTCCGTCCATATTATTATATTGCTATTCCCGTTGCAACACTCTTAAAAGACCAATCTGAAAATTGCATAATACACTCGATTTGAAATTTAACATTTCAAAGAAAATTGTTGAATAAAACGTAAGAAATTCCGTGAACATATGTTATTGTTACGTATAAATAGTACGTACCTGTTAATTAGTTGATAATATTTACAAAAATAAACTGTCATTAATAGATTTTAATACATAAAGTAATCCACTACGTTAGAACAAAAGTTTTAAAGATATAAACCAGGGCTGTCCAACTTGACTGTCATTAATGTGATTACAAGAGATTTAAAAATTAAATAACCTTGAATCTATTGCCGGATTATGCCGCTTGTTTATAAATAAATAAATAAAATCACCACAGTCAAATACCTATTACATAAACTTAAGGTTGGACACCTCTGATACAATAAAGAAAATATTCGAACGTGAGTTACACATTAACTCGCCAAACACAAAAAATATTAGCAACACGTCGATACAAGAATTTCAATTAGTGTACAATACAGCAACCACAAGTCACAACAATGAAAATGGCACTATAAAACCCCAGAATTAGGCATATCAAAATTAATATATAAAACAGAAATCTCATCGGTGAAAAATCACAATTGAACATTTAAAAATTACAGCTCAGTGTTCATGTCGCGAGGCCTATGTTTCTGCACAAATCTCGAACACGATATGTACAATAAGAAACGTAATAATCTCATCAATACACTGCATACGATATACAGGAGTAACATGAAACTGTTCAATACTTTTTTTAATATTGCATTTCGAAATTTAAATTAAAGTAACATAGGCTTACGTAGAGCGGTGTTGTTTCACTCGGCCGCAGTACGTTAGTGTCGCTAGTGTCGGGTATTCGTTAGTCACGCAAATTACGGTGGGTGCGAGGCCGACGACACAGATTATTTAGAACAAACCTTTCTTTTTCTTGTCCTTCTTGTCTTTGCCGTCCACAGTCCTGGAAGAAACATTAAAAACAATTAACAAATACAATCACGTCAAATATTTCAATTCAGAAACACTAATTGAATCACTCTCTTAAAAATCTGCGGTAGTGTCGTGTGTGTCGGGTCGTTACGTTACGTTCATTGAGCGAAGCAATGGCTGTAAATGAATAAACTATTTTGATTTTTGTCTATTTTTTAACTAATAATACAAATAATAATTATTAAAAAATAAATAATTTAAAGAAAAACAAAAATCCCGACTGCGTAAAAACGATTTTTAATTCAAATTTTACCAATCAAATCTTCCCAAGGACTATGAGTCGTTCTGTTCTGCATTGGAATTTATAATCCGTTTTATGTGTGTATCGATTATAAAACTATTTCAATTGTGTAGTTATTTAGTATTACTTAACAAAATTATAAACTACTGGGCATGTTTCTTTCTTTTTAGTTTTTATGAAAGGCAATTTTTTCATGAATTTTTTAAAATTCGTTTTTAAGTAGTCGGGCTTTTTGTTTTTCTTTAAAATATATATTATTATTTTATACTATTTAGTTACGATTCGTTGACTTCGTTATATTTCGCAATCTAATCATTTCATTGATGGAGTTAATATCGTGGGGTTTATTAAATTTTTCGCTCTATTTTACCCTGTCCGCGAAGCGCATTAAATTCTGTCGTCGATGGTTCGATTCTGACTCCTACTCCAGAAACATTGTTTTTAATTGCTTTGTCGTCAAATTCTATACAAACATACAAATCTATACTCAAGCGAGCATCTACGCAGGTCGTCTAACGAGACGCCGGTTTCTCTCTACCCTAGGTGCGAGTATTACTTACTCCTTACTTTTGGCCTTGAGCGAGTGTCTACGCAGGTCGTCTAACGAGAGGTCAATCTCCCTGTCTTGGGTACGAGTATTACTTACTCGTTGCAGTTGGCCTCAAGCGAGCTTCTACGCAGGTCGTCTAACGAGAGGCCGGTTTCCCTCTACCCTAGGTGCGAGTATTACTTACTCCTTACTTTTGACCTTTAGCGAGTGTCTGCGCAGGTCCTCTAACGAGAAGCCAGACTCCCTCTGTCTTAGGTACGAACTATTACTTACTCCTTGCTGTTGGCCTCGAGCGAGCGTCTACGCAGGTCGTCTAACGAGAGGCCAGTCTCTCGTTCCCAGGCGGCCTTCTCCGCTTGCAACGCTCGTTGTTTCTCCTCCAGTTCGCGCGCCTGCGCTTCAAGCGCACGACGTGTCGCTTCGTGCCGCCGACTCAATTCCGCTTCGGACTCCTTCAGTTTGGCGTGCTTCTCGCGCACCTTCATTTCGAACACCTAGAAATAATACAATACACATAAATAAAATAACTTTTTGTTATTTCAAGAATAATCTTCATATGTATAATATTTGATATCATTAACCACATTTTCAATAATTTGTTAGAGACATTTATTTCCTCAGTTATAAATACTTAAAATATAGAACGTATTTTTTCTTTTGATAGAGCTAAATCTCAATAAAAAAATTGACTCTGCTGTTGACTAGTAAAGCCAAGGCTTTGCTTAATTGGAGTTCAATAATATGTACTTATGAAAACAATAGATAATAAAACTATATTAATAACAAAATTTATGTCAAAATATAAATTTCTCTTAAAATATTTCGTCATTTCATTAATTATATTATGATCTCAAAACTTCCTAGTGTCAAAACACAAAATAAACACCCAATGAATTTCCATATTCTAAGTTATTTCTCTTAAATTGTATCACTTCTCTTAAACCATATTTCCCTTATTCTTTTGTACAATCAACATCACGTCAGGTTGTACAAAACCGTCAAAATTTCCCCACTCGATTTTAAACCTTTATATGTTAAGAGTAGATATCAAAGTCCACTGCTGAAAGTTTGACACATTGTGATGTATGTATCATTCCCAATAAAACATTTAATTTGCTTTACTTGCCTGTTCCATTTCTATTTCCATCTTCTTCATCTTAAGGTCGTGTTCTCTTTTTTCTTCTTCCATCTGGGCCAGTGGATTCCTGGGAACAATTTTCAATTAAAATTATTTATCAAGTATCATCATTTTAAATAAATAAAATACCCATAAACAAAGTAAAGAATTAGATTCACAATAACAAAACAATTTATTTCTATGGTAATCATGCTAATTATGCAAGAAGCATCTCAACCGACTTAACCAAAGCTAAAAATGTTTAAAATATGAAGGCAGTTTTCGCATGCAAATCGCAAGCTGGCATAGCCATGCTTCACGCCAACCACTAACGCCAAGTAGTAAGAATCTATTATTTTAACTTAAATTTATTTCTTGGTATATATTTCAAGACTAAAATCAATAGAAATTGAAATGTATATTTTATTTTGTAAGAGAAAGAAAGTAAAATAAGATAACTATATTACATATCTATACATAGTAGTATAAAACAAAGTCGCTTCCCGCTGTCTGTAACTGTGAGATCTTTAAAACTACACAACGGATTTCAATGCAGATTTCATTAATAATGATTCAAGAGGAAGAAGTATATGTATAGTGCAAAATCACGCTGGCGAAGCCGCTAGCGGAAAGCTAGATTAAAATAAAATAAAATGGATGAAATATTAGCTTAGAAAAGTGATATGATAAGGAAAGGCAAACTTAAGAGAAAGCCATAATGTTAAGAACTGAGTAAGGCATATTCATAAATCGTACAATATGAACATGGAAAGCGTCTCTCAAATACTACCTGAAAGTTCATACAAAAAAATAACGAACTAAAAAATTTAAAACAGTACACACATTGCTAATAATTTTGTGTTATAATATTTATTTTTTATTCTTACTTATTATCCAACGATATTAGTGTCTGTGGGTTTTGAAAGTGATGAAATGAGATGATGACTTAATTAATTAAATAGTTGCCATATCTAGTTATTGTGGATTATCATAATATAATAATTTAAAATACTTATTATTAACAGGCGTTAGTTAACCAGTAGCCCAATTCACATAACAAAAGTAGTAACGATATCACTGCTATTTAGTCGTTGAACCCATTTTCCAATTCACGTCTATGAATAAACCCGATTTTAGGATAGTTCTATCGGAGTATCGTCGAAGCGTATTCACCTAATCAATCGTGTCAAACTTGCGAAAAATCGACCGATAATAGCTATTCTGCTAAACAAATGAAATTTCTTTCGATCGGATTTGAATCGACTAATGTCAAATTACATACACGATTTAGGAGTGGTTGAACAGAATTCATTATTTGGTAACATAGAAATAAACAATATGAGCCTTGGTTAAGCTTTTATTTTGTTGGATATCTATTCATTCCATTGGATATAAAGGAGTCCCGAATAAGAAATAAATTAGGCTTTTATTTTTCTAAATATTGAAATTATATACTTCGTAGTATCTTCTCGTGTAGCTTAAATCAAAGGGCCAATTCAAAAGGCGATTTCGAGTAAACCACAGAACACGTCTTTCTGTAATCTGGTTTTCTTACTCATTGAAAAGCTCATTCCAATAATGAGTGAAGAAGGAAAACCTAGAACGAGGTATCTATCTGTCTTCTCCATTAAATATATTAATATTTCAATTTGTCACAATGTAACCGATTTCATGGGGCTTATATTTAATTAAACAAAAAATTATTAACGCACCTTCTGAAATTTCACACAAATAAAAAACGTGTTTAAATTCTTTATAACTAAAACTTTATTAGAATGTCAGTTTATATATACAGGATCTTTACTTTTTGTTTTAAGCAGATAGATTTATAAAATATTCATTGAACATATCTATAGATATTAAATAGACATGCTTTAAGTTTGGAGATATGGAGATTAAAATTATATTTTTTTTTGTCTCTTTAACTACAAAGGCCAACGACGTGATATTAGCGGAATTTTGTAAACACAATTAGGCCATAAATTAAAAAAGAAAACTTTGACAAATAAATGTTGCCCACAAACGATTTCATATTAACTCTGCCAAATACTACGTCTGATTTTCTATTTAATAATTTATTTTTTATATTTTAAATGAGTTAAAGTTAATATTCTTATACATTTAATTATCATGTAATAAATATCTCAATTTAATATAAAAAATACGACAGCAGCACGGTAGCATATTAATTAATTTTACTGGCAACTGTATTGGTTTTCGATTGATGAGTCGTTGAGTTTTGATTCTAACGAGTTGGAGTTCTATTGTAGTGCTTCTAAGCGCTACCTGAATAACACATTTCGATAGGACTTCAATCGAACGGCTTATAAACTTCAGCGTTATTTGGATTGTTCATAGTTACGTGAAATCGGCTACAGGCATACTTCGTGCGACCCGGTTTGTGTATGGGAAACGAAAAATATTTTTTTTAGTTTATCCCCTCAGTTTTTCTCTCCATCGAATATTTGCAACACAGTTGTAGTATGTTGTTAGAGCAAGTCAAAAAACTAACAATGACCCTTATCTTATTTTGTGCGTAGAAAGTATAGAATAACAAAAAGTCATCTAAAATAATATACAGGGTTATTTGTAGAACACCACAGGATAAGACAGTCAAATTGCAAAACAAGACAGCACCACAAACAAGTAATAATTCATAATTCGTTACATTTTACATTCATACAATTTCAGTATAATTTACTGCTCGTATGTTTATCACTGATATGTAGGTACTTCCCTCACCCAGAGCGCGAGCGTAGCGTCGTTCTTTCGTTTATGAATAAAACGTAGACATATATACATTTCACGACAATACAATAAAAAATGTAAGTCATTTCGTTTCAAATATTGAGACTATGAGAGCCAAATAAGAATAGCTACGACTTCACGGCTAGATGTTACTTTAGTACTGACAGCAAAGAAAATAAAGTTCACTAATTATTTTTGGATTTAATATTAATAGTTACATACATGACTTTATCTAGAATTAAATATATTTTCTAAATTGTCTCTTGGACTTCTCTTTATTACTAAATATGACGTTCACGATTTTTGTCGCAATGTTAAAGCTGACCACCTCAAACGCGTCCCTATTATTATGACTTCGGGTTCATTTACAAATGTCAGTATGTGTACTATGTACTCCGTTATATAACACAACGATAATGCGTTGATTTATAATAAATAAATATTTTTTTTTATTTTTTGAACCTAGATGGCTGTTTAACAATATTATTCTAATTTGACTCGCGTATTCAAACTCATTAACTATCTAGTCCTGCGAGATTGTTGGTGTCCTACAATAGCCTTGTATAACAGAAGCGTACTTATTAAGTTTTGTAAAGTGCTACATATTAGTGGATGATGGTGGCGACACAGTAAATGGTTGCATATGTGCGTGATATATCAGATAACGTTATGCGCGACACTTACCAGACGGTCATGAAACTGTTCATCAGTCCTTGCGGGCACAAACTGAACACCAACACAACCAGAGTTAGGGCACGCGGCGTGTAAGCGTCTACAGTGGCATTAGTAATAATCGAACACAAATACTAGCTCATAATAGTCGAAAATGAAACTGGCATTTCATACATATACTTCAATATTATCATTATTTATCGATATTTAAATATTGCAGCTTAAATAAAATGGCAACATTTGTTTTTAAACACACAATAATAGTATACCACAATATAATATTAGAAAACAAATTTTCACTGTACCACCATTGTCCTAAGACATTATTTATTTTTGTAAATATTACCTTGTCAATATATAATTATTAACATTAAGAATTGTTATCAAATCGATCAAAATAAAAGCATTTTTCATTAGTTAAAGTTCTAATAAATCAATAAGTTTTAGTGTATACTTATGTGCCATTAAAAAACTGACTAGAGCATATAATGTATAATGTGCCAATTATATAAATTGATTTTGGTTACGAAACATTTGCTTATAGCGGTAGAAGTGAATCACACTGTGCAGTGTTGTATGACACACGCAAATTGCTGTAATCACTTTGCAACGAATAAATGGTACAACAAACAGTTATTAATGCCACTGTAAAAGCAAATCAACTGTAAGTTATTATGATATACGACAATGATAATGGACATTTTAAAAATCAATTGTCTTTGTTATACGAGTATTCTAATTTATTCTCTCATAATAAGCTTTTAAATATGGACATACAATATGATTTTTAGAATTGACCATGCTAGTAATGATGGTAATGTTAACAATGAGTATTTCATTTCTGCATGCCCAAGCACAGAACATTCGAATAATTGAAGAATGTCATATGCAGCTATACTAAAACAATGAATGTTACAAAAACTCTGTAGCATACAAATTGCAACAGCTAGAAGAGGAAATAATGAAACAGTAGAAGGTGACCAGACATGCAGCAATGATAATACGAAAATGTGAAATACTCAATGCAATTATTATAATATAACTGTTAATATTCATTAGTCAAATGTTAAGTCTGGTCACCTTATTGTGGTGACAACAGTATTAAAATTCAACAAACTGGTAAAATATTAGTATATATTGTTAAGCAACCACGTCAACTTCGGTTGTTCTAAAAAAATAACCATGCCTATTTGAAAGTTATAGAGGACTTAAAATTTTCAAATTAATTTAAAAAAAAATCTCAAAAGTAAATGAATAAATAAAAAGAATTTGACGTTAAGTGTAAAATCAACAAGCTGATTAAATATTTCTTTTAAATAAAACTCTTCATATAATTTTTTTGCTAGAATCTACGGTGTAATTAGACATATTTTAGGTGTAATCACGTGTTATTAAATTTACACATAATAAGCAACTGTATAATTATGAACGAATATTGTCAAGCACTAATTTCACAAACTAATGTATTTTTAAATAGATACTTTAGATCACACTCATATTTAAGATCATTTTTTATACTTATTTCAATTATTAAATTATATTATAATGTTTTAGATTAATTTATTTTTCATTTAAAATATTGTTAAAACAAGTTGTATACTTTAAATATACTTATCATATACTTTAAAACAAAATATTAAAAAATCTGAGTTTTGTATGAAGGGTTTGACCTTTCAAACTTCTTAAGTAATGTAATTAATTACACAAGCGTGAGGTCAAATGACAAGTGAAACTACTTTATAACAATGTTTGTTGCATAATTGCTCGACAAACAGGAAATTAAATGAGATCATGCCCTAATAAGAAGAACTGTGTAATCCCTTTAAAACTTTACATCTGAAAAATATCTGTTATATCTTTAAATTTGAAAAGAAACCTCTATTAGTTAGTAATAATACAATAAAAATGTTATGGTGGTGTTAAAAACATTTAATCAGCCCGATTTAAGTAAAAAAATAATAAACAGGTGTTATTTATTTTTTTATAGACCCGATTCGAAAAAAGTGTAAGATCACTCATATACCAATTCATCAAAAAAATTAAAATGGTTATAGTATTTATCTTTTATATTCAAATCATCAAACATCTAATATAATATACATATATTCTAATATAATATACATATATTCTATTAGATGTTTGATGATTTGAAGAGAATGATGATTATAAACAAACACTGTGATTCTTTATCCAAAATATTACAATCATGTTCAAACATTAATAAAAATTATATTTCCTATTTTATATTGTTATTATTATTATGAGTTTTTTTTTTCGGCATCAGCAGTAGTTGAGCTTGCACTGTCACTGCAGTACAACTTGAATGGTTCGTCCATTTTATCAGCCCAATAAAATATAGTGCACTTTAATATGACAAATTTACATGATCAATACGGCGCAATTATTGTATACATATGCATATTATTTCGGATAATGAAAAATACAGTGTCATCTCAAATGTTTAGATTCTGGTTATGAAAAGTAAAAGTACATACTTGTTGGAATTAATCCTATGAGGTTTGCCGTCATGTGAGAGTCCAGCTAATTTACGGCACCGATAGTTCTCGTAGTGCACGGAGCTAGTGACGTCTTTCAGGTCTTGAAGGTGAGTCCGGATCACCATATTGCGGAGCGCCAGGAAATCGCAGTGCTCCAGGTTCTCCACTGAAGTAACGAATGATTTTTGTTAATAAAATCAAAACAATGTCGTTCATTATCAGGTTTAACAACACTATTATGTATTTATGTACACAGGTCTTCACTGTGGATAGAATCACACAACATGTGCCCAGTGATGATTGGTGAGTGCTAACAACCACAGATGCAGCCCAGACCAATGGCATAAAGTGTTTTCCTAAGCACAGAGTAGATAATAATTTTTTGGTCACTCATCCGATTGCTTTTGCGATCCCTTTGTTACTTTTAGCCACCGCAATCACAGATCGAAAGCATACCACTGTGCTTTTTATTATTTAGCTCCTTCTGTTACAGAACTTGTATTTATTTTGTCACTGCAAACACAGATATTATATTTGGCAAACCCGAAATGTATTATTGTGATATCTGCATTATAATATCTGAGGCAGAGGTCAAGGTAATAAGGATTATCCGCTGATGTAAAAGTGGAAAAAAAGTTGACAAATCGTTAACTACAAAAATCTTGATAAATTAGTTTCCGATGCAAATTGCATGATCTAAAGGGTGCGTCATGTATCGTCGGTCGCGGAACGTCAGAACCGACAAAATATGCTCATTCAGCGGATAATTCATGACGTGATAGATAAAATTTTATGAATTACGTCATTTGATATGCTATAATTGATATTTTGAAAATAAAACTTGAAAATAAGTCCCCTAAAGGCCGAGACTTGAAATCAAATTTGTTTATTCTACACTACCGTTATTACCCTCCTGGAGTATATACATTGAATACAGTCTAATCTATTTTGCTAGCTTGGATTCTCCTATAAACAGATCGGAGTTATGTGAGTGAACTCACGTTATTGAATTGCATAGTTATAGTGATCCGCAATGGATATGAAATGCCGAGATTGGTTCTCGTACTAATTAATTGCAATCTTTCAAGCAAGAAACTCTACCCGAGGTACTCTGAGATGGCACTCGAACTCACAATGGTGCAAAGTGATTTATTTAAGCATTTTTATTAAGAATATTTAACAATATAGCATTGTGAAAGCAAAATTGATAAAATATATTGATTAAAACACATTTTCATTTTAATCAAAAGTTTAAAATATTTATTTCAGCTGTTTAGGTGGTTTGCTTGAACATTGATGAAAATAAGCTCGCTAGTAGTGAAAAAAGTGCTTGATAGATTCCTCAGTCCTTTAAGGTCCTGGGTAGCTAAGTGGTTAGAGCAGTCGCCCGGATTGCGAAAAGTCGTGAGTTCGAATCCCACCTCAGAGTTTAAGTGCCGTCTATAAAATTAGTATAACAGGTAAACAGGTTTTATAACCGTAATGAAGGGCGCAAGGCCATTCTAACCTCTCCCAATAATATATATTTAATTTTTGCATTCAAAATGCTATCTATCTCATAGAAAAATATTAAAAATATTCAGTTGTCTCCTGTTCCTGAGACGGAACACTCTGTTTTATACATCAGATATACTATATCATAATATACATAGTAAATATACAGTAAGTAGATACTATATAATATCAGATGTTATAATAGTAATAATACGCACCCTCCGCGATACCCCAGGGATACTTGCGGCCGCGGATTCGTCTGCCGTCTTGTTCTATAACTGTGTTAGCGCCGACTACAGCGAACGGAACCCGCCCCCGAAGCGCCCGCGTCACATCCGCGCCTTCGCCCTCCTCGCCCGTACTCTCTGGGAAATCGTAGATCTTGATCTTATGCTGACCGATCTCCTTCATTATCTGAACAAAAAGAAATATAAATAAATATGAGATACCATCACATACATTGCTGATTCCTACTACTCGTATTATGGACTATCTAAGACACGAAAGCAACACAACACCCAGACCAGAGACAATATGAAAATGTTCATTTTCTATATTGAACCGACCGGGAATACAGCCCAGGACAACTGATGTGCGAGCCACTCGGCTACGTAGGTCGCATATATTCGGATTTCATATACTACATGATATGCAGAAAAAGTTCGCAATATGTAATCACAACAACAAAATGTCTGAAAGAGCATACATGTAGAATAAAATGTTTATTTAACCATAGGCAATCATGCATAAATAGTTTCTATACGACCGTGCTTACACGACAGAACAGACCCCTTTAGTTTCAAAATTATTATTAGCCTAGTAAATTAACACGCATGGCAAGTCAATCATCATCGTTTGTGGACTTTTCTTTTTTTCAGATGTAAAATAATATGAAATGGTGACGCAAAATATGAATATTAAAAATACATTTATAATAAATAACCACATTATAAAAAATATTATGTTCACATGCGCTAGTATAAATTTTTTGCTGCAGCAACTAACCTGTTCTTTGAAATCTTTACATTCTTCCGGTGTCATTGTGTCAGCTTTTGCGATGACCGGTATGATGTTGACCTTGTCTCCGAGCCGTTGCATGAACTCTACGTCGAGCGGCTTCAGTCCGTGCCCGCTGGGAGCGATGAAGTATAAACAGCAGTGGACGCGAGTGTCAGGGGGCGCAGCTTTACGTGTGACTCGTGACTCTGCGTTTAGGAATTCTTCGTACTTCGATTCAACGAAGTCAATGATCGGTTGCCAGCTGTAAAGTAGATGAGGAAAAGGTGAGATAATATTTATCAAGCAACATGGGTGATAATAAAGATTTCGATATAACACTTATGCCAATTTGTACTAAACTTAGGAGTCGCCTAAATCTGACACTTAAATAAATATTTGGGCATTGTCAAAAGTGAAAATATGTTTTACCGATTACAAGGAACCACCTAACGACTTAAGGCAAACATAAAGTTAGGACATGCATTGTGCGGCGCATTTGCGTAATGTGAAATATACATTTATTCTTTGGCTATAACGGGTGTGTCAAGGGATAAAATCAATTTAGTAAGTTTGAATCAAGGAGTTTATATATTAGAACTGAGACATAACGAATGAGACTTTTTTTGAATTTTCGGTCTTTTTATAAATAGACTATGAAAACTTGTGTGCTCGTGTAAATACAAGACTACGTATAATTTTTCTTGTTTTATTACCTCAAAATATATATTTTTGTTATTGTGTCTTTACTTAAAAAGGTCACTAACGTGACAACTATAAAAAAAACATGTATTACGCTATATATAAAAAAAGAGAAGGAACTGAAGCATGTGAAATCATAGACAAACGTTGGATAACTAAGCAAGTGCTTAAACTATTCTTAATATTAAGCGATTTCTATTTAAGCTATGCCTTGGTCTAGGTTAATGAAAACGGGCATTATTGAGTTATTAAACCAAACAACATAAGTCAATCTTTTCAACTTATATGCAATAGTTGTCACCACTTCTGTGAAGGATATTAAGCAATCAATAGTCCATGTAATTCTTTCATAAATCATATTTTTCTTTCAGTATTGTATATTTTTGTATATATTATACAGTTTTGTATATATTATAAAGTGTAATGTGATTTGCAACAATGTTCTTGTACTACTAATTTTTCATAAATCAATCATACCTGACATATCAAAGAGCTCTTCGGTCATAATCTAGATCATAATGCAAATTTTCGACGAAAACAACTAATAAAATCATAATCTTTTAAATATTTGCTATATAATTGTAAAAGTATAATATTCACCAATTACTGTTGTCAACGGCATCTCCAAAACCAGGAGTGTCCACTATTGTGAGCGTAAGGTTAACACCGTTCTCTTTGAGCAGCACCACGCTCGTTTCCACGCCGACAGTCTTCTTCACCCGAAGTGAAGGGCCAGGGTATTTTTCTTTGTCGTACACCTCCGTCAGGAATAGTGAATTTATTAGAGTTGACTTACCCAAACCTGTTTCACCTGTAATTGTTAAACAAAGTAGTACCTATAAGTAAAATATGTCTAACATTCGCATGGGGTGGGCCGAAATGGGGGCAACGGCGCGGGAAGTGGTCTTCGGGCTATCCCTTCCAGGGAGAGAGACATTGCTGGGTGGTTTAGTGGGTATGCCCCTGCTATTTGCCCCATTCTGGGGTGGGTCCGCAGGGGAATCAGGGTAACGGATTTCCTAGCGTCAAAATAAATTATTGCTAACATAAGCTGACAGGTAAAGTCTGCGAAAAGAGCTGCGAGGGGCAATCCAGGCAAACTTTCCGAAAACAATAAAGAAGGGGGAGAGACTGTGTATTATAGCTTCTCTTCCGCTGGAGTCAGCGCGGGTAATTTATAATCGAAGGTAGCTTGGAGTCAGCTTTCTACGACCGGTTTCTCGGGCCCCATCCCAACCGGTCTCAGTGGTCCTCCCATTGAGTAGGTCCGCTACCGATGAAATCCCCCCACACATTCCCCATCCATTAATCACAAGATGTTTTTTTTATTTTAACCCCCCCCCCCCCCCTGGTGATACATGGTGAGGTTAAAGACTACCCCCTCCCTTCACCCAAAAGACGTGTATTTTTAGTACCAACAAAAAATCTCAAAAATTTTTGACGTCGCTTTTCGGTTTGATATTCGCGCATCGAAGAAAAATAAATGCACGTAATATATTTCTACACCCCCACCCCCTTGTGATATTTAGCTATTGTCACGAAACCCACCCCCCTTTCGAGCCTCACGTGATTAATGGACGGCCCCATAACTGGAGTTATTGAGTATGGTTATAGTTTCGCATCTAAAATAATAACATATTAAATCTTTGCTTCCACTCACCTACAACCATTAAAGTGAACTCGAATCCTTTTTTAACCGCTTTCCTATATACTTGATTCGGTAAGTTTGCAAATCCGACGTATCCATCTAATTCTTTGGTTTTTGGCTTTTCTAACTTAGGTAATTCTGGTTTTGGTGCGACTGGTGGATGCTCAGGTTTCTAAAAAAAAAAAATATCTAATTGATACGGTGTAACAAAGCCAATGTCAAAAGGCATTGAGGATGCGCATCAGCTCAATTCGACCTTCATTAATAAAGTACGAACGATAACCCTAAAAAATCGGACGGCATTGTTTGAGGTAATTACTGTTTAGCAAACGGACGCGAGTGCGAATATACCATTGTTCAAAGTGTATTAGTGTTATGGGATAGTTATATTGTCATACTCGCATACATGGATCCTTGCTTTTAACTACAGATTTAAATTTAATTGAAACATATTCATTATATATAAGCAATTAATGGAATAATAAAAAAAGAAATCTAATTAGTTTCCTTTGATTAAATAATAAATAGTAATGCATCAATGCACAACACAATTTAAATTACCCAAATGATAACAAGCTTTAACAATTAATACTCAAGTATAAATAAAGGCAAGCCCATTTTTAAATCTCATTATTTTAAATAATAATTAATAGCTTGATATGTACATATAATTACATATTTTGAATTAATTCATTAAAATTACTTTATTAAATTAATTAATATTAGATACATATTATATTACTTAATATTAGTAGTTAATATTAGTACATATTATTATAATATAGGCTTAAAATACCTTCATAATATTTTCTGTACTCCTGAGTGGTACCGGTGCTGATGGTGGGGCAGACGTAGGCACAGGCGGCGCAGGGGTCGGTGGCGGTGCTGATAAAGGCGGTTTAGGCGCATCCACTGACACGCTGTTGCTGAGCTTAGCTGTGCCGTTGGTCTCATGATGATTGTTCTCATGTGGGTCTGGTAATGTTGCTGATCGTTTTGATAGAGCATCTTTGAGAGCAGATGGCGCCACCGGGGGCACTGGTGGTGCACCCATCGGTGGGCCCGTAGTACTAACGCTGCCGCTCACCGAATCCGATTTGAAGAACAGCTCGCGTTTACTTTGTAACTGAAAAAAAAAACGTGGTTATTCAAAATGCTGAATGGTGAATAATCATAATATTTTACTTACAATTATTAAAGGCAACATTACATTAACTCGTTTAATGGTTTAACGTCATTTGTAAATAAATTTGTCATATTATCTTAACGCGCTTTCAACATAAGAGAGCGCTAATATCAATAACGACGGGATTCCTCCACAAGTCGGTCTAGCCGGCTACGGTTCGAGCAATGAGTCATCAAAACCGAGACAACCGTACTTTGTATCTACACACAATCATGTACGTCGGCAACATATGCGTTCAATTCTATAGTTCAAGGAGGAAGCGATGACACGGCACCTTATTTATTCATCAAGACAAAAGAACACCTTGTATACCGCGACATTATTAAGAATAAAAGTTATAATTAAAAAAAAAAGTTTGTTAAAAACAAGCTTTTTATTTGTGCGCACTTACCGTTAGTTATAATACTTTTAAAAGCGCTAATGAAATCGGAGGAAATACTCATATTTCTACACGTCAAAAGCTTTTCAAGTCAATTACTGTTAGAGAAAATTTTGATTATTAGTACTTTTAAATATTTAGAATTCATTTATTTACGTTTTAGTGCGCACAAACACATTTTTTTTAACTTAATTTTAATATATTTTTATTTTTTAGTTTTATATCAATATGTTGTTGTTTTCATAAAGACGGATCTAAGGAGCCCAAACACGATGCAGTTGCGTTTTTTATTGCTAACTTCCTATGACCACTTTTCAGCTCCATCATCACCAGACCTTAGTCTGGAAAGCATCCAGTACCATAGCCCGCACAAACACGGATATAACGAGTCAAACATGCTGCAGTTACCTCATTTCATTTCTAAGTTCCTATGGCCACCTTCAGACTTCATCATCATATCAACTTACTGCCACCATAATATTGCATTGTCATCTGACTTAAATGTCTATGCAAAATTTCAAATCTTTCGGACATTAAGAAGTGGGTTAAATTTAAGATCCAAGATTTACGCACTAACAAGGCAAGTTAAATAAAAGCTTGTAAAATAAAAATTAAACTTATAAATAAGTGTACTAATTTAAGGTGTATTGTAAGATTAAAATATACACTGATTCTGAGGCAGTGGCTCATGATTTCATACACCATTTATTACAACATTATAAAATGAGGATAAACAGGAGTGCAAAACATTTTATTTTCAAGACAAATAAAAAAAAAATTTAATAGTTGTGTTAAAAACTAACAATATTATTATTTTACAATATCAGACTATCTAGTCTGAAAGAGCAGGGCAATTTCCCTTCTTCACGCACCCAGGTGTTGGTCGAGTAGAAAATGGAGTATAAAATAGTACCATCTACAAATTAAATTCTGAAAAAATATATGAAACGATGATACAAAAAAATATTTCAAGTATTAGAGTATGCGGCCAATAATTATACACAAGTCAGAAGTGCCGAAGAATGAAAGCAGTGACTCATGCAGAACGGAATCACTACCACCATTAACGCGTAAACTTATCATCTAAGTAGCTACACATATATAATCTATGAGTCAAATCGTGCCACACGTTTTCCTTTTATAAATAGACAAAACATTAATTACCTACATATCTAATTTTCATTACTAGGTGCGTATTAAGAAAAATAATCGTTAAAAATGTACTTCGATTAACAATCCAAATCTCTATGTAGTTATTGGCTGCTGAATGATTAGATCTAATAAATATTTCCTGTCAAGATCTAACAGACATTCAACAATCAACTAGTCTAACGACAATTCCAATAACAGTTAACCATTTCCATAACAGTTTAAATCCAAAATCAGTATACCGAACGCAATCGGCGGATAATATAAATATTTATACCATTTCTGTTCTTTCCAAGCACGCAAGTCCACATATGGACTTACTTCGACTTGAGCAGTTTTGCGAAGTGTAATGACCTATGCGCTTGTGACGACAACGGCATCTATTAATACCACTAAGAAAATCAGATACTGCAACAATGGCAAACCGTTTGAGCAATTTCTATAATTCCTTTATTTAAGATTACAATTCCGTCTATTCTAATAAAAGTGTAAATATGTGCATTGTTCATGGACGGACTCTTCCAATCATATTAATTTTAATAAATATAAATGCTTTGCTTTTTCATTTATTTCGCACAGTTGTGAGTTAGTTATTGAATCATAAATTATATTTAAATTCTATAAAATTTATATATTAACTACAACTTAGCAAAAGCATATAGGATATAGGAAAAATTAAATTCTAACAGCACTTTTCTACTATATCCTCTCCTTTAGAGATACATTAGTAAATTATAGTGGGCCTCAAATAGATCCCTATGGCACAGCACTATTTATTTCCTTTATGGTAAACTGTGACTTCCATGCTAATATACGACTTCAGTTTTGTATCAACTATTGAACAGCCGTGTCAAAAGCATCGCTAGGACGTAGAACAAGACCTAAATTTATATTATAAGTGAATTATTTTATTATTTAGTTTGTTTATTAGTTAACATTTAGTTAGTTTAAAATTTAATACAATTTTGTTAGTAAATAAAAAGACAAAAAGATATTAGATCATTTGTACTCCTTTTTTTGATGAAAGAACATAGTGATTGAATAAATTTCTGATATTTTGTTGTTATAAAATACTTCATAGCATTCGTCATCTTATTAGAAAGATTAAACTCTACAAACAACTCAACTCTTCACGAATCTTTAAAGCACTTGAAACAATAAATATTGACATTAAAATACACAAAAGCAAATAAAAAACAAACCATATCCTTTTGTACGGCAAACCAAGCAGAGGAGTTTAAGGACATATCGTTCATTTCACAATTGCAATCACGCAACAGTTGCAGCATCGATATTTGACGCAACAAACACAGGCTGCATTTCTGCATTTCATAGGATAGTAAATTTAAAAATCCGCACTTCATGGAGAAAAATTTACTCTAGCTCCTGACCAAGTGTGAGTCATAATTTCGTAAGATATGTTAAATTAAGCATCTGACGAACATTAAATATTATAAGTTTCCTGTTACAACTAATTCATGTGAAACAAAACCTCGAAAATGTTCTAATATGATTTAGAGAAATCACAAAGCTGTCCAAGACAAGTCCCAAATGCTCACTGATCGTCGATCGGGCGCAGGCACCATCCGGTGAGTGTTTACCAGAGCACGGACATTGTAACATAAATAATGAAACCGATTCAACATCGATGAAGAATTTGTTTGTTTTGAGTGAAACCACGAATAAACAATATGCCTACATAGTAGGAATACTTTCATTGAGCAATGGATCCAATTGAAGCAACATTATACGTGGGCATAACCATTATTAGTGCTTCAAGAAGTCCAACGGCATTGTAATTTTTATAGTTGAAGATGAATTTGTTTACTTACATCTGGATCACTATTTGTGATTTTCGATCTAGCCTTTCTTTTCAAACTTAACCTTTTTATTAAAGTATTAAAAAACATTTCTCTACTACTACTTCTGACTTTAGAGAAGAGTTTTATTAAATTAATTATTTGTACACTCCATTAATTATATCACTACAACACCAAGTATATCACTATTGTAATCTACAGATAAACACCTACACAATCAAATTACTTATATGTAGAAAATGCAAAAGGAAATACATGTAGTCGTCGTTGTTTACTCAACCGAGTTAGGTTTCACAGTAACCACTATTGTCATAAATGGTTTGCGTAATGATGTACACTAGTGTCGTGAAGCATAGCTGACTAATTAGTCCACGTAAACGGGTAATGTTAGAAAATTCAATTTGATAGTAGCATCATGCCATCATGTTTATTGAAAAATCAGTTTGATCGATTAATAACAACACAAACAAAATTTGATTCAAGATATTATTAACATGCTACTGTTAAAATAAAATATGTTGTTTTAATTTTTGCTTGTTGATAGTACTAGTAGCTGGGAAAAGGTATTGCACACTCACTAGTTTGAAGTACCACCAATTTAACATTCACGTGATTAAATACCAGCAATAAGTTACTGGTTCGTAGTTCATTAAACACAAATTAAGATAACATCAGAGGACAACAATACACGATAAATCAATATAATAAAATTAATACGGCAATCATTGGCTGCTCCCCCATATACTGTGACGATGCACGATTTCGGTGAACCATTACACGTTCGATTGCATTTGATAGCGATAACACTAATAGTATTTATTGATAGTCGATCAACCCCTATCATAAATTGCTAAAATACTGTTTTAAAAATCATTGAAAATATGAAGTGGGGCTATATTAAAAGTAAATTAAATAAAATCAAAACAACGTGCAGCGGCGCCAGCGCGCGGCGCCTCATAGTCCGGCGACAAGGATTGTGACAGCTAACGCGATGAAACATCAGTCTGACTCATTATCTTTACACTCCGAATCATTTTATCATAGAAAATCAAATAATCCAAGGTAAATAAATTTAAATTAAAAGTCGTTCTTCAGGAAGTGCATTACTTACTCGAGAAAGATTTGACTACATCAATTCACCTAGTGTAATATTGTCAACGGGGAAGAAATTTTTCAAAACTTGCCCGAAAATATTGTAAAATCAGAACTCTGTTGCAAAATATTTATTACTTTCTGCATAGAATCTACTTTTGATAGAAATTAAAATTTTAAAACATGTAGTGCAACTAAAGATTTAAACAATACATCCAAATGTCTAGGTACTTCGTACTTGAAAGTATATAATTGTTTCAAAACAAAGTCAAACAAACCGCATTGTACGGGAAGGAAACGCCCGTTAAAAGGGCTAGAGCATGCACGTGCGTCACTTTAATAATTTATTATTCCAGTCAGACTGGGCCAGCAGCATTGGCAGTTAATTCAATAAGTACTACAATACGTACTTTTCATTCAAAAAATCAAAACAAGAATTACTCATAAGTGTAACTACACTAATACAAAATTTGATTTTGATGAATGTGCGATCTTTAATA